GGATTGGCATAATATAAAGTCAGCACGGTACACAGGAGACTTTAAAAATCTCCTTAAAGGAGGTTTTTTTCTAAATCCAATATATTTGTGTTACGCTGGAGAAAAAGTTGACAAATTGTAGATTACCATCATCTTGATAACCTAGGCACAAAAGTCTGGCATAAGAGCAGTCCTTGAGTAGTTTTACTCTTGTCAGAACAAAGAGATGAGGGATTAGTGAAACTGTGAATTAGCTCTCAAATCTTTCAGTGCCATCAGCACCTGATGTCAAAGTTCATTTCAGAGCAGAATGTGTAATTTTGAAATATGTGTGTTTTAACAAGCATTTTAGAGAGATGAATGATCACATTAGTGATTTTCTTCAGAAGTAATTTCCTTAGCCTGACTTGATTTGAATTTTGACCTTTTAAGACTTGATCTAAATCCATTTAAGATGCTTCTGAAGGGCTTAAAAGACAACGAGAAGTCAACAGCTTTCATATTAAAATTATTTGAACTGTTCAGAATGAAACATTTAATTCTCACAGAAGCCATATCTTTAGGGCTACACAGTCCTCACTCTACAGTAAAGCAAAAATTAATGGAAATTGGAGAGAAAAATCAAATTGATCTCTGTCTTGTGCCTGTGCTCTGTCATGCACAGCCATTTCCTGTGCTGTGGTTCTCAGTGTTGCACTTCAGAATTATTGTACAGCCAAATTGACTCAAGTATGAGGAAAATTTATATTGATTATCAAGGAACTGCATATTACCCAGCATATTGTATATACAAATTCTTTGCACTGGTACCCGACTGCATCATTACACTTGTAAGCTGTTTACAGGGGATTGGATGAATGGAAGTACTCAGAGTATTGCAGTCACCAGCTTAATGACCAAATGAACACCAGTGACAAGTAACATTCCGTAGGGGTCAGCACTGGAACTGATGATGCTGTTTAAGATCTGTGTTGGCAACATGGAAAGTGGTATGGAGTGCTCCCTCAGCAAGTTTGCTGACAACGCCAAGCTGTGTGGTGCTGTCGACACACTGGAGAGAAGGAATGGCATTCAGAGGGACCTTTACAGGCTTTAGGGGTGATCCCATGTGTTTAACAAAGCCAAGTGCAAGGTCCTGCATGTGGGTTGGGGCAATCCCAAGCACAAATACAGGCAGGGCAAAGAAAAGATCAAGAGCAGCCCTGAGGACAAGGACTGGGGGTGTTGATTCACGAGAAGCTCAGTGTGACTCAGCAATGTGCAGTCTCAGCCCAGAAAGCCAACCATGTCCTGGGCTGCATCAAAAGAAGTGTGACCAGCAGGTCGAGGGAGGGGATTCTGCCCCTCTGCTCCACTCTCACGAGATACCACTTGGAGGGCTGTGTCCAGCTCTAGGGCCCCCAGTGCAAGAGAGATGTGGACCTGCTGGAGCAAGTCCAGAGGACGGCACAAAGATGATCAGAAGGCTGGAGTACCTCTGCTATGAAGACAGGGTTGAGAGAGTTGGAGTTGTTTAACCTGGACAAAAAAAGGCTTCAGGGAGATGGTAGACAGATTTCCAATGCCTAAAGAGGACCTACAAGAAAGCTGGAGAGGGACTTTTTACAAGATCATGCAAGGACAAGAGGGAATGACCTTAAGCTGAAGGAAGGTAGGTTTGGATTCATTGTTAGAAAGTTCCTTACTATAAGGGTGGTGAGGCACTGGAACAGATTGCCCAGAGAAGTTGTGGCTGCTGCATCCTGGGAACTGTTCGAGGCCAGGTTGGATGGAGCTTTGAGCAACCTAGTGGAAGGTGTCCCTGCCTGTGGCAGGGGGGTTGGAACTAGATTTTTAAGGTCCCTTACAACTCACACCATTCTATGATTCTGTTATTTTCTTCTGTGTGTTTAAGCTCATGAAGCGATGAGTAGTTGCTCATCTACTTCCATCATATATGCTCCCTTCATGCAGGACAAAATTCATAATTTTATCTGATAGTACTTTATACACTAATTACTAATATATTCTTCAGCAGAATAATGTCTTGTAGAAATAGTAGTATAGCAGTAGAATTAGCACAGTAGCAGAGCTTGAATAAATCACCAGCCTTGAAGGAGTGTTATTTTTGAACATATCCAGCACTGCAAGATGCTGGAAAATGCAGATGTCTTTGCTTTTATTCTGTGTACCCTGCTGGTTTACTACTGAAGGATTAGCAAAGCACAGTTCATTACTGCAAGGTTTCTATTAAATCTAGTCTCCAGTGCTGTTTTTCCTGTTTCATTGCGCTGAATCTGCTTTCTTGCAAAAAAGTTTCCTCTCAGTTATGGGCAGACAGCAGAGAATAGATGAGTGGCTTCAGCCATAGGAGACTTTGGAGACATCTGTTTTTCCCTTGTATCATTTGTGTTCCACTCTGTCAAAAGTAGGACACACCTGGAAGATGGCAGGGGAGGGAAACATGCTGACCTGCCTGCAGTTGTGTCTGTATGAATCAGCAGGTTGGTTTGTGCTCATGGAGATGGATGCAAGATAATAAACCAAGTATGTCTCTGTTTACAGTAGTGTTTGAGAGAAAGCGTGAGCCCTCTCTGAGGAGCTGCCAATCTGCCTGGGCAGAATGGAGAAGCCCATCTCAGCATCAAGATGTTTTAAAATGCTCATCAGCTTGTATTCAGTACGAACACCTGCAAATGAAATTAGAGTAACAGCAAATGAAGCAGAAGTGATGATGTTAAAACTGTGAAAACGAGCACTCCTTTCATCTTGCAGTGGGGCAGACACAGAGGGAGCAGCTATGCAGGGCTGAGCAGGAGGTCACAACGGGATCACTGGGTGTTCAGTAATTAATCTTTAAAACACCATTTCCTTAACACATAAGGAATTTACAATTTAAGCATGGATTTTTCTCCAGCACAGTTCAGTCTTCTGTATGCCATGTATCTGGGACACAGCTCAAACCTGATTTAACCCAAATGCAGTGAGGAGTATGTATAGTGGTAGGGAAACATCAGGGTGGACACTAATAGGAAATGAACCATGTCTCACTCTCATAACATAGAAAGAGATGCTGAGCTAAACCATGAAAGAGCAAAGTGACAGAAGAAGGAAGTCGGAAGCAAGATGAATAAGTAGCAAGGAGGGAAGCGGTACCTTTGGCTGAGAAAAGGTGAAAAATCTGTCACAGAAGCTGCTGGTGTCTTAGGCTGATGGGTGCTCCTGTGGCCAGGTAGCATCTGAGGCCATGAGCTTGCTGTATCCAGGCACAAAGGACATATCTTTGAGAGAGATGTTCAGTTGACCTGTTTTCTCTTTGTTTTTCACATCAAGACTGAAAGTGAATCTATGCCCTGGATGAGATGGCCTTTCCAGGAGAGCTCAGCAAGGCAGAGCTGTGGAAAGGTGCACACCAGGACTGGCTGCATTGCTGGCAGCACATCATGGCTCAACATTTCTCCAGTTGTTTAGGTGCTGCTCAAGTGCAAGGTGGACCTGCAAATCTTACAGCTTACTGCTACTAAGACAGCATTAGAGTTTGCCCAGTTTTCACATGTGCATTTTTCCAGTATTTGTTGGGTTCATGGCTGGGCTTCACGAACGAAGATTTGAGGAGTGCTCTACCCACGTTTGTTACAAGCACACTGGTGGCTAAAAAGGCCAATAAGAGACAGGCACGTCCGATTTGTTGGGTTAACCTCTCTCTTTTAAATGTATTTGATGTTTGGATTTCCAGCTGTTCTGAAATTGGATCTGGGGCTTCACAGTGATATCCTGCTTTAAGTGGTGTCCTTATGATACATCAATGACGACATAAGGAATATTTCTGGCCCAGGAGTGGTGGTGGGTTGGCCGTCAGTCCTTAGCACATTCCTGTTCAACCTGGGGCTGGCTAGTTGTTTCCTAACAGAGAAGTTAGAGGAGAAGTATTTTGTTGGAATTTGCTTTTGAAAGTCAACTGCAATGGTAATGGATCCTCTGAAGCATTTCAGGCTGTCTGTTGCTCTACCATCTCACAACCTATTGCCCAACTATCACCCATTTCAGGCATCTTCATTCTGGATTCCCTACTGTCAAGAGGGTCATATCCTTCACATAAATGCCCAGCTGATCTGGAAATCATAACCCAGGCAGATGTTCAGCTCTCTGTGATTTCTTCTTTTCAAGTAAATAACATTGTTTGCATATGAAAGAGTAGTGTCTGCTTAAGTCTTCTCTCCCAAAACTACATGGCTTTTCATCTGTAGCAATCGATGTGGTGGCAGCTGAAAAGTTTCTCCAGTTGCATTTATGATTTGTCTCTTTAAAAAAATACTAATTAAAAAAAAAATTGTAACAAAAAATCAAGTCACCAGTATTCCTTTAAAATATATTATATTGTTGGCAGTCAGATGGAAATACCTGATTTTATACCTATTCCTCAAAATGTGTAATTTCCACATGGTCCTTGGAATAGAGACACTTTTTTTTCAGTAGTTAGTTAGAAATGCTGCCTTCTTCTTAAATGTGTAGGAAAGAAAATACATGCCTCTTTTCCTTACAACTTCACTTGACCTTGGCACACTCCATAGACATTACTGATTACACACAAAGTGTGCAGCAGATAGTTAGTTCATCAAGGCTGTAAGGACTAACTTCCATCTGACCTTAAATCCCTGGATGCAGCATCTTTAGCTCAAAGTCCTGCTGCTGCAGCTCTTTTTGTGCTGTGTGATGTTCATGTGAATGGTCTTGTTGGTTTTGGTATCACCACTTGCGTAGTAAAGACTGGTTGTTGGACGTAAATCTGTAAATGCAAGGCAAGCGTGTAAATTCAGGAATGTTTTGCTGATTATTCTTCGTAAGACTAGGCTTGAGAAAAAAACATGCTTCTGAATTTAAAACTTTCCTCAAAGATCTTGATAAATTAACAGGGATGAAGCTTTTTTATCTTAATTGTACATTTGTCAGTTTTTCCTAAGACATTACTTGCTATGTTTATGTTGACATGTCACCTATTTCCTTAAAAATCCTTCAATACAAAGTTTTTTGTTCTTTTTCAGGTGTTCAAATGAAACAGTGTTCAAAAAGGAAGATTTGTTTTGGGCATATAATTTCTGCCCCACTCCATACTCTTGGACAGCACTTCTGGGCCTTATTTTGTACTTGATTTTCTTTGCACCTGGTAAGCAAACATTTGTTTTCACATGTAAGTTATGAAATTGTAAAATATCAAATAGTGAGACTACATGTCAAATTTACTTTTGAGTCCAGCCATTAGACTGGGATTGATCTTTTTTCCCCAATTCTTAGGGATGGGCCCTATGCCCTGGACTGTCAATTCAGAAATTTATCCACTTTGGGCTAGAAGTACAGGAAACGCATGTTCTTCTGGAGTCAACTGGGTTTTCAATGTGCTCGTGTCACTGACATTTCTGCATACAGCTGAATATCTGACATACTATGGTAAGTAACAGTATGTGTTCATATGTGTAGTACTGCCACTGGCACAGAGATTTTCTACAGATTTTGGGTCCCTCAGTTGGTTTTGCTATGAAATGTCAACTGTGAATGCAGTGTTCTCAACCCACTGTGGTTCAGTAAGACTGGAGATCTGATACAACCTGTCTGGATCATAGACTTTGGCCCAGATTTCATAAAAAAACATTTATTTCTGTCCTTAACCGAGAACCTAGACAGTTGGTTAAAACAGAGAAGCTGGAAAAAATCCCACTTCTGACTTAGTGAAATATGCTGATTCCCACAGGATCTGCAGTTTTTCAGTTTGTGATGGCATCCAAGGCCAATTTCAGATGGTCCTTGCAGAAATATAGGTGTTGATTAAGTCCTGTCTGTGGGAGCCTGTGGAGTGTTTGTCAGGTTAGTGCTCAGCCACTCCAGCACAAGTCATTTAAATTACATTAAGCTGCCAGGCAGCTGATGTGACCTTCACATCATTACTAGTACAGAGCCTTTCAGCTCTACTAGTTATTCCTTTGAGCCATCAGTCTAGCAACACATGGCAGGTAAATGTTTGTTGGTCCTTTGGTACCCTCTCTGCCCCTCTAGGTATAATGGGTCGTGGGCGAGAATGAGCTCTTTCTCAATATTAATTGTCTCTACAGAGGACTTTTAAATTATAATTAGATGTAAGAGTTACAAGTATTATTTTAATCCTGACTCATTCTTTTGCTAGAGTTTCTCATTTTGAGGAGTTGTCTTAATGTGTCCTTCACTGTCAAGATAAACTAAGAAAGCTCTTGCCTTCCACATATGATTTTTTTATTTGAGCATGCGATTGTCTAATTGCTGTTTATTTTAACAGCAGAGTGACTTGCCCAGAAAGGATGTGCATTATTATCTTTGGCATGAATTGAAATTTTCTTTTTTCATTTACTTTGCTGCAGAATGGTGCGATAAAGTGTCCTGCTTCTACACCCACAGCCCTGCAGCTCATTGTTATAATCCTGTCCCTCCAGCCTTTACTTTTATACACTCTTTGATTCCCAACCTGCTGCTTCTGTCTCTCCCTCTGCTCAAGCACAGAGAAGGGATGGGAACCTCTGTAACTGACTGTGCCAATTGTTTTACTTTGCAGGAGCCTTCTTCCTCTACGCAGGGTTTGCTGCCTTGGGACTAATCTTCATCTACGGCTGCCTTCCTGAGACTAAAGGGAAAAAACTAGAGGAAATTGAATCTTTGTTTGAAAACAGGCTATGTACATGTGGTATGTCAGATTCTGATGAAGGGAGGTATATCGAGTATATTCGGGTGAAGGGAAGTAATTACCATCTTTCTGACAATGATGCTTCTGATGTGGAATAATTTTCAGCTGCTGATGTATTTAATCATTTAAAAGCCTTCTGGGGGGGAAAGCAGCTCTCTGATGACCTCACTGCCCTGCTTCTGGTCTGGTTCTCCTTTCTACTGTGCAGTTAAAAATGCCTTCATGTTCAAAAATACTCCATTTGGAGGAAATTCAATATGCTAGTGTTTTCTTGATAACTAAAAGCAATGGCTTCCAAAAGAGGTTGAATTTCACAGTTATGTGACTTTACCAAGTGTGCACAACGCTGCACCGTCCCCAGGTATTTAGTAGGGTGCACTGTACCAGATGAATACAGAAGGCTATCCTAGATGGTCAGGGGCTGTCCTTATCTTTAGTCCTGACAAGATAAAATAATTGAGTAGCTAATCAGAAAGCAGCTGACAGCTGTCAGATCCCCATCCCATTGCAGCCTAGGAAGTAGCTCTGCTGTGCAGTACAACGAAGGATGAATGCATAAGTTGCTGTAACAGTAACCATTTCAAAAGGTTAACCAATTGGGAAAATACAAATATCTGTTATATCCATCAGAGGCAACATTTCCCAAATTTACCCTAAGTGAATTTCCATTGTTATTTATTGGAGGTAACAAGCAGACAGCCATATTCACCTGGATGGAGGTTCAGTAGGCTGGCATGTGTCCGTGCTACACTGGGCTATCGACCCACTGCTGCTCTTGAGTACACACTGTGGTCAGGAGTTTGTGTTTGTGAGAGAAACCACCAAAATTAACTACTGACAGCAGGAAAACAGAGCTCAGTATGTGACCACACATACAAATGAACTGGTATATATTGCTAGGTACAACACAGAGCCGTCAGTTAGAAAAAAATTATGTTTGCTTTCCTTTTTTGCATTTGAACATACTGGTTTGTGCCTAGTTTTGAACATAAAATATTGTTAGCTAAAGGAAAGAGAAGGAGGGGAGAGGGTTTGTGCTGCTAAATGCACAGTGGTCATCCCTCCCGCGCCTTCTGCTTGTGAATAAATATTGCCTTCAGTTTATCTCCATATGTGCAGAGCAGATGACTCCCAGCACACTTTTCCTTCAAATGTCCTTAGTCAACCGGTGTCTTGCTAGATCTAAAGAGAAATATTAGCAATGGGCAGAAGCCTATGTCTCATATTAATTGCCTTACCAAAGCATTGCAAACTTGTCAAGAAAATGTCAGGCACAAAAATCAACTTGGCTGCTTTTAGCATGGTAATGAAAATGTGAATGGTGTTTTATTCGCCTGCCATGATTGCTTGCCTTGGCAAATTGAATTTTATGCAGCTACATAAAAATATTATGTTATTTTTTTCCTTGTTCTGTCCTCCTTGCTTTAAGTTATCAAAGATATGAGTTTGAAAGCATCAACAATTCAAATTCTTATCTTTGAAACATTTGCCTCATAAAAGAATGTGGAAAAAATTCCTCTGCCTGTGGGCTGCTGCCCATTTATTTGGTAAAAATACATTTATTTTTCATTTTGTAAAGATTAAAGAAGTCGTTGGGTTAATTAGATTTTATAGATTTGATTTGTGGGGTTTTCTTGGGTTGAAAAATATTTTTAATGTAGGATTACTGTCAAGACCAACCCTGGACATTTGTTACTAAATTATTTTTATTGGATGACATGGGGTTTTGTTGTTGTAAAGAAGTCTGACTTTATGTTATCTAATCTTCTGTGAGGGAGTTCCTACTTTACAGTTATTGACCTTCAGGGATCGGGTGTATTTTGTTTTGTTTTCTTTTTTACTCCGTTAATCAAAGAAATATTTTTTGAAAGAAAACATTTTAAAGCATCCTTCTGTGACTTGCCTGGGACTAAAAGAGGAAAACAGTGGACAAAGGGAATTTCAAACGAATCATTGCAAAGAGCAACTCGACCTTGAACATCTCCTGTGTGGTGAGAGGGCTGGATTCTCACACCTTCCATCTTGCCTCCCTTTTAAGCGCACAATATTTTTATGCTTGAAAGCACCAGCTGTTGAAAATGCTCAGATCTCCAGATCTGTCCATTGAAAATACTCAGGTCCTCAGACCTAATCTACAAATACCCCTGCAGCTGGATGGCTCCGTTAGGCTGTCACCTCTCTGAAACCTTCACTGAAGGTGCAGCACCTGAAAGGAGAAAAAGGGATCCTTGGCACAGACAAGAACAAAATCATTTTAAAGACAAATTAGTTTCTTTCTGAAACCAAAAAAATATGTGTTTGAAGACCCTTATTCGGGGCAGTTTCGTTACCTAGAGCAGTGTGTGAATAGGTGTATAACCTGTGCTTAGGTGGTTGATAGGTTTAAGTGGGTATTTATTTACTGGCTTTTGAGGAGAGGGACTTACAGTTCTGATCCCCTCACAAGCACGAGGCCATGCTCACTTTACGCCTGTGAACATTGCCTTGCTGGATGTGTTTTGCTGGAGCAGGTGGGAGGCAGGACCCGGCATCCCTGTGGTGGCCCCGAGTCAGCGCTGCCCTCCCGCTTGTGCCCACAGGGAGAGGAAACCGCTGCAGTTACTGGGCATAGCTAAAGCAAAGTCACTGGAAAGATTGCAGTCACAAGGTCAGCCTGTTCTGTTTTGCAGGCAGTGCTGCAGCTTTTTAGCAGCAGAAGACCATCTCTCTCTGCCAGCCTTGTTTCATGGACGTTTTCAGAAGTGGCGCTCAGTTGCACACAGCACTGGGCTCACTTTCTCACTCAAGTTTGATCTTACTGAAAACAGTTTTCTGCAGGTTTGTATCCCATGCCCTTTTTCATGAGGCATAACAATTGAAACGTGCAAAATATATTGACTTCTTCATTGTCCTTCCCCCTTTCGTGCCCACAGAGAGCTGGGTTTAAGTCTTCCTTTTAGGGTTGCTTTACACCAAGACGGCATTCCATACTTCAGAAACACTGAACCTAGTACCAAGAATCATGTGTAATAAAAATGAAGTCAGACACTTCTAATTAGTCTTACACAGTTAGGGTTTTATTTTTAGAATCTGTGAACATTTACAGTTTATTAAGAAAATTAGATAAATGTTTCTATTTTGCAGATTTTTTATATTTATGTATATTTTAAGTTTTAAGAGATTTTTGCTAAAGGTAGACTTAGTAACATTCCAGATAAAAGAATAAAAATACAATGTAACTGAATAATTTCTTATTATAAGATTTTAATTTATGAAGTAGCATAAATAATATGTCTAAGCACAAAATTCTTTTATTGAAAGCTTTCTGCAGAAGATGTGAAATTGTTTCTTCATAAGGACTGCACATTATTCAGGTGCATCAGGAGTGCTAGAATAATACTGCTGGTAGAGTTGGGCATATTGATTATACACAACAATTTGAGATATTTTAATTCTGATTAATCTACCAACTCTACATGTGAGCTAACAACAAGTACGAAAGAAACAAGTCCTGATGCAATTTTAATATTTTTAAATTGAATTCACATTAATTCACATATAGTAGTTAGTTCATCGTGTTGAAATTAAAAATTGTGGGGAGGGTGAGGTAATTTGCCACTTGTTTCTTCCCCTTGGCACTTCATTGATCAAAATAATCTTTATCAAGAGAACCAAACCTGTTTTGAAAATAGATGTAGAATCAGAGCAAGGCCCAGAACTTGTTTGGAGGACTGAAGTTGCATTGCTGTGCAGGCACCTTGGATAGGCCGCTCTCGTAGGCATTGCTACCTTATGAGTTGCAGTGACAACCCTGGTGGAAATTGTCCCAGAAATCCTGGGAAAAGAAAGGGTACATCACAAGGACCATTGTTCCAATGCCAACTGGTTTTTGTGTGAATTGATAAATGCAACATTTCACTCATGTAGGAGTTAGGGTTGGGAGGGGAGAAGAAAGAAATGATGCATGAAAAGCCCCACGAAGTCTTGTTTCAGTAGATGGGTGTGACGTAGCCAACAGGAGCAGTCATTTGTCATGGTTTATCCATGTGGGATAAGGATGGTGAGGCCAAGGGACTGTGCTTGGTCCTGTGGATGGGATCAGTCAGGCTGTCAGGCTAAGGGGGAAGAAGCACACAAGTGCTCCTTTCCCATACCTACATGGAGGTGAGGACGTTGCAGTGGAATTAGCAAAGCTGATACTTTTTTCCTTGGTGAAATCTCCTCTGTCTCTTTACTCACTCAGGCTGAGCACTGGGGAGAAGTTTTGAACTTCAGGGGCTGCTACAGGCCCTGAGCAAGGGTATTCCCTTAGGCCATGAGGGTATTCGCTGCAGTCCCACAGACAGTGAGTGGGCTAATAAAAGATAGACCCTGCACTTCTCAGCTTTACACTCAGCTTTCTACTTCTCAACGTCAGTGCTCTTCTAACATGGTCTTCTTGGTATTTTGCTTGTGCTTGCAGAAGAGGCTTTGTTAGCTGAACATCACTACTGCAAAGAGGCAGAGTTTTCACAGGATAGAGAGATCTCGGGGTAGAAATCCAGGCAGGAGAGACAGTTTTTCAGAGCACTTTAAAGAGTAAGATATGTGTGCACTTTTTTCTGAGAGAGTCAAGCTAACCAAACCCATTCCTCTGCATTGGGAAGAAAATCAAGCTTTGTGTACCAGGCCAGAAGCAGATAATGCCACAATATGTGCTTTATGGCAAAATGTGTTTTTATTGCGGGTAACATTTACAGCTTACATGTAGCTGCTGCCTATAAAGTGACTCAGTTGTTCTCTGGATTTTAACAAGTCATATTTTTGTGCAAAAATCTTAGTGGTTTTCTATCAATCTTCATCACCTTGTGTACAGCACAGTTAAGCATAATCCACAAGTGGTCTAGATTGTGGCAGTGTTGCAAATGTCAGCACAGTAAAACTCTAGGTGAACATTGTTAAAGAAATATTGTTGTTTGTGATACTGGGGTTAAAAACTCCTCAAAGGCAACTATATATAGATTTTAAAAGTCTGAAAAAAAAATGGCAGTTCTTATCTATTTTGTGTATGTTTTCATATAGAGAAGGAGTTTTTTATGTGCCAATAACCATCACTGTAGTGTTTTGTAAATGGGTGTTAATAGTGTTGCAGAGTTCTGTATATGAGAATATACTTTAGCCACAATGACCTGTTAGTGTGAACCAGCGGCATGTTTTTAATCTTACTCACACCTCTCATCAGAGGTGCTCACTCACTGGCTTTAGTAGAGCTCACTCATGCCAGGGGAAGTTTGACGAGCGTCAGGCCTCAAGAATACAGACTTCATCTAAATCCCCACTTTTTCACATTGTCCCTAGACAGTATGTTACATGTGAATGATCTGGCACATGTAATTGTAAAGTTTCAACTCTAGTTCAGTTACATTCCTCGATTTTGTTGAGAAACATTTTGTCAAAATTTGGTTTGACCTTTCATTGCATTTGTATAAATAAGGAGCGCGCTGATTAAGTATGAATATTATCCACCTATTTCTAAAGGAATCATCTGTTTCTGAAGTGTTAAAATAAAGGCAAATTTCTCTTGCTGCCTTAAACATTGCACAGACTTTTGGGAGGACTGAATGTATGACCATCATCGTGACTTCTGCAGGAGAAACTTCGTGGATCCCCCGCAGGTTTGAAACGAGATGGTTTCATGGTGCTGAGATGCTGCGTTACACTGCAGGTCCTGCCTAGTGCACTCCTGCCATCTGTTTGATTTAAAGTGTTTGAGTAGTCCCCATGAAATTGATAGGATTATTCACATGCTTGATATTCTCCATGTGCTCAGTGTCCTGCTGGTCCGGGACATTGCTGGGAAGTGGCACGAGTCATGTCCCTGCTTTCTGTTGTGAATCTCACTCCTCTACAAAATGGTTAACCGGATCTTTTTGTGACAAATGCCATGTAGAATATTTGAGACATTATTGGAGACTAAACTGATAGTAGTAATTCCATGCTGAATAATAACATGCACATGGTGCCATCAGGCACACTGTAATCCCTGGGCACGTGTTACGGTATTCAGTACAAAACAGGTTTTGGCAAAACTAATTGCTGAGTTGTCCAAGTCATTTCTTAACCATGTCAAACATGTGCCATTTCCATTTCCAACCAGTCAGGCCTATAATGTATGAAAGTGTTGTACATTTTCTGAAACTTAAGTGATGTAAAATTATTTAACTGACTTCTGTTCTGATTGCTTTAATGAAAATAAATATCTTCAAAGAATTGTCAGTGGCAGAAGTGTAAATGAACAAAATAAAAGGTGAGATACTTAATTACAGAATCTTTCTCAAGGTTTCCTTTGTTTGGGTATTTGGGTCACCTTTTAGAGTTGCAGCATTGCATTGCTCAACAAAATGAGCTCAAATAGGCTATGGGCTTACCTGGTAAGAATAACTTCGAATATGATCTCAATAGGATGTATTTCAAATCAGAGAGCAGTTCTGTGATAATGGGTACACCAAGTAAGTGTTCCTTCCTTTCTGGAGGATTTGTTTGAAGAGCTGCATGCAGCTATGCAGAGCTGGCAACTGTCCCAATGTCCCCCTCTGGGTTTTTGATGTTCCCTGCCCAAAAAGACCAGTTTCCT